CCCCCCCCAACTTCTATAATCCAGCTGCTAAAGGGTTAACACTGGGCGCAACAATGACCCACTGAGATCCTGCTCCAGCCAAGACCAATGTTCTTCCTTTTTTATTCTGTGGTACTTCATTGTTCTAGATGTTAGATATTTTGAATATCACCCCTGACTATAAGCAGTAATTGCCTCAGTCATATACTCACATACATATACAAGACTCTATCATATATCATATGACATATGGTTTGATAAATCATATACAAGAAAAGGCTGTTTCCACACTAAATTAGGATGTACCTGAAGATTTGCAGGGTCTTGAGCAGCAAAGGTAGTTGTGTTGAAATTACTGGAATTCACTCTGATCACAGCCAAAGCCAAAGAAGGGGAGGTTAGACTTATGGTCTTGGTTGAAAAATTCAGCTGTAAGCCAATGTCATCCACTACTTTTAGCAATCTGTAAAGATAAGTGGCAGTTCAAATTGAGCACTCCCACTTTGTTTTCCCCAGTCTAAGCAGAACATAGAGTAGCAACTTAACAAGTCACTATGAAGCTCATAATGGGAGAAAAATCATGTAAGAATCATCGGTATCACTATAGGGTCAGTATGCTAAGTCATACCTTTGTGCCAGAGGAGCCAACAAGGCGGGTGGGGAATGGAGGAGTTTGCTGACTTGATTTATCATTTCTCCTGCGAGGTTAGGCTCCAAGCTGCCTAAGGACAGAGTTTTCTCCATCTGAGACACTTGGTGTTCAAGATCAGAAATGGTCATGCTACTGGTGGGAACAACTTCTGCAACAAAGAGCCAAATCACTTTATGAAGACATAATGAAAAACATCACTAATAATGAAACATGTACCCTGTGATCTGGCAAACCTAATATTAGGCATTTACCCCCCAGGAAAATGAAAACATGTCTTAAGGAAGACTTGTTCATGAATATTTATAGCAGCCTTTTTCATGATAGTCCCAAACTGGAAACAAGCCAAATGTCCATCAACTGCAGAATGGATAAACAAATTGTGGTCCATCCATACAATGGACTATATTATTCAGTAATAAAAAGGGATGAGTTACTGATACATGCAACAACATGGATGGGTCTCCAATTCTCCAATGTATTATGTTAAGTGAAAAAAAGCCAGACTCAAAAGGCTACATACTATATGATTCTCTCCATATGACATTCTAGAAAAACCAAAAACAGGGAAACAAAACAGATCAGTGGTGGCCAGGGGATGGGCAAAGTGGGTAGGGGGTCGACTACAAGATATGAGGGAACTCTGGGGGTAGTGGAAATGTTATATATCATGATGGTGGTTACATGACTGTGGTGTTTATTCAGCCTCATAGAACTATAAAATTTTCATTCATCCATAAAAACTGGATGAATTTTACTGTGTGAAAATTATACTTCAAGAAACCTAACTAGCCCGGCCAGCATGGTTGAGTGGTTGAGCATCAACCTATGAACCAGGATGTCACGGTTCAATTGATCCCCAGTAGGAGATCTGTAGGAGGCAGCCGATCAATGACTTTCTCATCATTGATGTTTTTATCTTTCTCCTTCTCCCTTCCTCTCTCTGAAGTCAATTAAAACATATTTTAAAAAAAGAAAACCTAACTAAAAAAAAATGTAAAAGCACATCAGTGTATTTAGTGTATATTCATATGAGCATAAGTACACTTATATTTAATTTATATCATGTGTACAGGAATTTTTATGGGTAACTAAAAGTGCTTTGTGTGAAAAAGAGAATATTATGAAATTAATAGCTGAATTACCAACTGTAAGCCTGATTTTTAATAGTGTTTTTAATTGGGAAGCAATGATACAAACCTGTCTAACAACAAAAAGTCTCTTAATTTGACCACTTAACATCTTATTTCTTATTTTTCATATTCCTTTCTATACTTTATCCATGTGTTATAACATACTGTTATGAACATTGTGCGCAAACTATTTATTGTTATTTTCACTTCACTCAAGACTTGAAAAATGCCCCCAAGTTTCTGTCTAGCTGTTCTTATGCATGGTTGTATAATAGTCATTATGTTACATGAGTCATTGTGAGAATATATTTCATCATTCCTCTCCTGTGCAACCCTTAAGTTATACTCACTTTTTAGCTACCAAGTAATACCCCAACACATAGTTTATGCATATGCCACTTTGATTCCATTGTCTCATTCCCTGAAACCCAGGTCTCAGGGGTGGAAGCATAGATTCAAGAGGCCACCTTGCTGGCCTTTCTGTGTAGCCTGTTAGGTTGATTCTAAGGGTCAAAGGGGATAGCTTTGGAAAGGTGGGCATTTTAGGCTCAGGCTAATGAACTTCAATTTTACTTTATTCTTCACCAGCCATTAAACCTTCTCTCGACTAGAGCCCCAATGACTTTATGTGGCCTAAAATGTCCATATTTATTTTTAAAATTACTTAAGAGAGAGCAGTGCAAATTTGAAGAAATATCAAGTCATTTGGCAGAAGTTCCAAATCTCCTGGGGATGCTGGCACTGGAGTGGAAGGGGTGGAGACCACAACCTGAGCTCCAGTCTCAAGTCACCAAGAATTTGGTTTTGCCTTGAACCAATGTAAATTCTAGAGGAAGACCTACTTCTCACTCACTGAATTGAAACTCTGGAGAGTATCCAGAGTTATTTCTGCTTCCTTCCTTCTTTCCTTTATCCTTTACCCCTAAACCTACTTTGTTTCTGGGGAACCCTCTGCAGTTCCCATGGCATTCTCATGCTTGCATTGTTCTCAACTAAGTGCTCTTAGTGTGATCACTTTTATCTTTAAGTAGAACAGGCTGAGTCAGGAGGAGCAAAATGGCTTATCCCAGACCTCACTGCCTGTGAGAGCCCATGCAGACCCACGCGAGGCCTTGTGAATGTTCCTCCCCTCCTTGTGGCTACCTTGGCTCAGTCTCAGCTCTGTCACTCTGTGACTGACTGATTTTCAAGAACACTAGTGTTTTATTTTGTCTTCTGTCTAAATGGAGTCACTGTGTTTAACAGTTCAAAAGTATTTTCTTCAGAATGTTGAAAACAGTGACCCAAAAACCTTTTGTAGGAGAAAGAAACCTATGAAATAACTCAGATGGATAAAATGAGATCTGTGCTCGCCTCAGGGCTATTTCTCAGTTCTTGGTCAAACGATTTCACTCAGCCATATCTATGTTCTATGAATGCCTGAAAGAAAGCTCTTGAAATAAGTAGACATCATAAAAAGAAAGGCTCATTGTGATCTTATTACAGATATCTTCATTTGGCAGGCTGGCAACTGCATTTTAGGTAGCCAGAATTACAACAAACATAGGAGCAGCTTAGCTGCTCATATTTACCTGTCTTGTCAGGAGGTGTGCTGGTCGTGATGACATTCACAGGGGCAGATGTGGTGGGAGAAGGAAGTGAGGATTTCACAGGTGGCAGAGTGGAGGAAAGATCAATTTGGGGACTAGTTGGAGAAATAGTTCCAGATTGGGGGCGCATATCAATGGTTGGGCTAGAAGCTATGGGAGCTGAAGTCTGGAGAGTAGGAAGGTGAATCACCCCTTTTGGGCTCTGGGTGACCACAGATGGATGGTCTAGAGGCTCAGCTAAAGAGAAGGCACTGGAGACCCGGGAAAGAACTGTGGCCTGAGGAGCAACTGGGATGGAATTGCCGGAAGAAGAAACTGGTGGGTCATGTGGATAACCACCAGCAATACACATAATTGGATCCTGCAAGTCACTAAAGGAAAGAATCAGAGAGATGCATGTGAGACACAAATGCGCAACAAAGAAGTGAGTCTCCTCCTCTGGCAACCATCTAACACCACCCGGAACCCCGGGCTGCACCCCAGACCAATGACATCACCACCTCTGAGGACGGGTTGCAGGCATCAGTGTTTTTAAAATCCCCAGATGATCCCAATGTGCAACCAGGCCTGAGAACCACATCTCTATAGTCTGGACCCCTGTTACTTAAAGTGGAGTCCACGAACCAGCAGCATTGGCTTCACTGGGAGCCTGTTAGAAATGCAGACTCTCAGGTCCTGCCCAGACCTAGTGATCAGAATCTGCATTTTAACAAGATCCTCAGTGATTGGCATTTGCAGTAATGTTTGAAAAGTGCTGGAATTGAAAGCCCTTATTTATTGTAAAAATTCCCAAATTCCAAGGCCAACGTGGCCATTAAATATTACTTTTTTTAGGAAAAGAGTCAACATGTTTGCCTCATACCACTGCAGCTTCTCTAATTCTTCTGGGGAGGAAGGGCAGGGTATTCTGACAGAACAGCAGCACTGTTCTGGAGGAGACAAAAGGAGAAAAAGAAGAAAATGCATGGTCAAGAATAAGGCAAGATGGAAGCTCAGACCCATCAAGTATTACGGTTCTTACACTGACTGCATTTTAAAGAGCATTTGTCTAAAACAGGTGATAAAATAAATTGGATGCCATTATATTGACAATTACATAGACATAGTAGGTGCTCAAAAATATTGAGTGAATAATTCGGGGGAGGGCTATATGCACACAATATTAATTGCTCTTCAACAACTTCTAAGAGGAATTCAGAAGTAAACTGATCCCAGCAGCAAGTGATCAAACATTCCAAATAGGTCTCTCCTCAATGGGGTTTATCATGTTTTCAAATATGGTATACTGAAATTTTATTAAGAAAGCAGGAAAAATCACCATTTACAGCTCCCTAAAACCTTCCCAAGGACAAAGAAATCAAAACAGAAAGCTACTATTTATTAATTATTTTTTCAATTTAAAAAAAGAACACATCAAAGCCGTATGAAAATGAACACAGCAATAAAGATAGAGACAACTTACCCATTGGATGAATCTTAACTCCTTTCAAAGCCACCATTACAGCACATATGTTCTTTGTCTTATTCAGTTTTATTGTGAATGTACAATTTAATGTACTATAAAGAGAAAAATATACAACCAGAATGTTACTAAACTGGAAACCTATCTATATATTTGTAGTTGTTTTTCAAACTTAGAATGAGGAAAGGAGATAGTGACACTGTTAACTTGCAGTGTAACCCTATAAGCTTATAAACACCCAGGTACCATGGTCTGAACTTTATCCAAAAGACTTTATAGGATAAAACATTTAAAGAGGTTTACATTCACAGAGGTTGCAAACCAGAGACCCTCTGACCACACACAGCTGCTGATTCATTTTACCTGCCTGCACAATGAATAGGCAGGGGTGAAATTTGTCTTCAAAGACAAGCATCTTGACATCTAGGGTCTTACCCCCAGCTGACTACTTGCCTGGTATCTGTAAGCATTTGAGTTTCTATCATAGGAGTCCTTTCAAATACCAGCCTAGATGAATACTGGTCTCTTAAATCCAAAATCTCTCTGGCAATCCAATCTATATTACTAGATAACTGGTAATTTAACATTCTCTGTTTCTTTCTACTTAATCTTGCTTTAGGTGAAAACATTAATATTGCAAAGATCAAAAAGAGGTACTGTACGTGAAATGAACTAAATACGTATAGTGGATAGGGATTCGATGTACAGTTTCATGGAGGACTTGCCATTATTTGTACCAATGAATAGTTTGATGAGTAGAAATCTGTCATTTTCTAGGATTTTTACTCTCACAGAATGCTCAAGGTTCAGGTAGTGAGGTTATTGACCTATAAGCTGTTAGCTTATGCAGCCAGGACAACCAATGGACACAATTTAAGATGATAATCTGTGCCACCTCAAATAATTGTTGGGCAATCTCTGATTCACCTCTGAATACACTTTTTAATTTCTTCTTTGCTCTTTCTTTCCAATCTTTTCCTCCCTCTCCTTCTTCTCCCATGTTCCAAATTGTGTTCCTTCTTCTCTGACTCTCCTTCAACCTGACTGGACCACTGTGAGCCATTTCTTAGTCCTGTTTGGGGCTAAGGACACTGATGATCCTTAGCCTCATAGAACTTGAGGCCAGCAGCCCTGACACTACCCCCATCTGTGTTTCACAAAGAAATGAGAAGATGGTTGTGACAGATTGATGAGTGTTTGGAAGAAAAAAAATACATATATTGAAAATGTCATTAATATGTATTTCTTTTAGAAGATTGTCTTTGAATTTGCAAACTAAGACTCCTCAATACTTTATTTCTCATGAGTAGAGAAATAATGATATTTTAAAAAGTATTAAAAATCACTGACCTTTGAGCTTCTGCTGTGGCACACACTATAAAATAAGTCTGAAACAACAAAAGTATATATATGTTACTTTGACAGTTGAAAGTGTCAGACAAGACAACCTTGCACTAATCACAGCATCACTGAATCTTAGAGCCACAAGAACTCCTAGGGATCATCCAATTCACATTCCTACCAGATTTCTGACATATGATCAAAGCTATTCAGGCTATACAGACTCTGCTTAGATAGATACCTTTAGTGTCAGGGAGTTCACTATCACACAAGAAAGCTCATTCTCCTGGGGCTCTTGTTTTAAGAAACTTTTGGTTTTACATGAAGGAAAATCCACCTCCTTATAATGTCCATCCGTTGTGCCTAGTTTTGATTTTTGGAGTAATGGAACTAGTGCATTCACTCTTTTACATGACAGATTTGGGGGGATTTGAATACATATCTCCTCAGGAATGCAAAACTCCATGCTTTCCCCCAAATAACAATTATAAACAAGGTACAGGGTGTACCATGATTACCTCACTTAGGGCTTGCAGGGTTTTGTTGAGCTCTGTTCGTCTGTTGATAAAGTGAGAGAAATTGACATGAAGGAGATTATTGGGGATGTTAAATTCAAAACAGGTTAGATTTTTACCAAATACATTAAACATATAGTATTTATTGCTTGCAGTGTTCACTTTGAAGAAATACTGGGTATAATAAGAGATTCCAATGTGGGAAAAGTAAATTATTTCTATGACAAGGGAAACTAAACAGACCAAAGCTGTATTGGTACTAGCCAACAGTTGCAAGATAGAAAATTTATGGTTGAACAATCTTATTCATTAAGCTCCCAGGCAGCGTCTGGCAGAAGGCCAGAGGAAGAGCTGCCTGACCAGAGGCAAAATTTCTGAGACAGGCCAGCCACTCACCCTGGAGGCCTGGGCCTCTGATTTCTCCTTCATTCCCTTTCTAACTGACCCTGCCTGCCATCTAGCACTCTCCAGCCCTGCCTTCCCTTCCTTACAACTCTTTAGGAATTTCCCTCATTCCTCTCCTCCAATCTCATTCCAACAACACTTGCATTTCTTCAATGTGGCAGAGATTCATATGAGGTTAAGATGAAATAAATCTAGTTTAAAAATTCAGTCTAAGGCAGTGGTTCTCAACCTGGGGTGGCACTGTCCCCCAGCGGACATCTGGCAAGATCTAGAGACATTTCTTCTTGTCACAATTGGGGGTGGGGTGCTACTGGAATCTAGGGGGTGGAGCCCAGGGATCTGTTACGCATCCTACAACGTATAGGACAATCCTACATGACAAAGAACTATCAGGCCCCAAATGTCAATAGTGCTAAGGTTGAGAAACCCTGCTCCAAGGAATGGGCAATAGTTCTAGGTGGCTCCAGGCAAGGTTTGGAGGCAAGAAGAAGGGAAGGATGGTGGCAAGAGTAGTCAGCTTTTTGAGCTGGCAGGAGCCACTCCTCCATAACTATACTCAGAGGTCACCTTTCTAGAGATTTCCCTGTGCATTCCACTCATGTCCAATCTGTTCTTTATTCAGATACTTAGAACATCCTTTGGTATCTTGTACATGTGACCTTCATCATAGGGATCGTACTCTAGTGTTATCGTTTGTTCCCATTCTGCATCTTTCCTACCAGACTCTAGGCTCCCAAAATGGCCTCATGTTGGAACCACCAGTGGAGCATTAAAAAATGCTCGTGCCCGCATCTCAGTCCCCAAATACTGATTTAATTGTTATTGAGTGTGCCTGGGCATCAGTGTTTTTAAAAGCTCCCCACGTGATTTTAATATGCAGCCTAGTTTTCCATTTCAGAGAGTTGAGTTTATCCCCATTTGTATCCCCCAGCACATAGTAGGTGCTCAACAAATGCTTGGTGGCTTTAAATGAACTCATCTCTATTTCAAGGCTAGTAATTAAGATGAATTACAAGTACACTAAGTTGTATTCTATTTATAAATCTGTGAGTTAAAAAAATGTTTTCTATTACTACTATTGCCTATCTAAGTTTAAAATCCTTCTAGGACATTGATTATGTCACACATATACTTTGAATAGTTAGAAAAGCTAGATTTTTATCAGAAGGTAAGAAAAAATAGGCATATAAAGGACATGAATAACATCCCTGCCCATCCTAGTTTTCACTATAACTTTTTGCCACTATAGACTCAGAAGAGCCCTAGGAATGTTTGATATCCACCAGGTGGAATCCTGTATGATGTTCCTCTCCACCTAGCCACTGCTGAATCATCAGAAGCAGCCAGGTCAAAATGCTAATTAAAGGACGAGACTTCAAAACAATTTTGTTTGCTTTGACCTACAAAAGGTTTTTCTCTTCAGTGTCATCACACACACTCCCCAGAGCTTTTGAATTTGGTTAAAAGTTTAGAACAACTTCATTTGAGAGGTAGCAGCAAGGTAGAGAGTAGATGAACTTCATCTCTGATGCTGCTTCCCTGCCATGAGGGCAAAAACATAAAGTTTCCCCTCCCAGTGGGCAGAGTAAGACTGTCCTGGCCTAGGCCAACTGCTGGCCCACATTTTGACCTATTGTCTAACCGGGGGGCATCTATTTGTAAACTGAGGTCTACTTAACAAAGACTTCTCCCTACCTTGTCAATCACTGATGCTTCATGAAAGCATGAACAAATGGTATCAATGAAGTCTTACCTTGAACTCTTCTTTCAACCTTGCTGGCTACCAAGGCATATTACTCAAATACTAATTCAAATGGAGGTAATTTAATAGCGTCAAAGAGAAGAGCCTCACAGGGATATTAATTGATGACAGTTGATTATGGTTATAGTTTGCAAAGAACACAAGAACCAGTTCTCTATAACTTTTAGGTCTCTTTCTTATTCACAGTTTCCAAAAGCAAAGATAACTCAACAAGTATCTTTCCATAGTTGATGTCTTAAGTTTTAAATCAAACAGCAGATTACTCACTTCAATTCACTTAGAGACAGGACTCCAGTCAAGGTGCCATTAGGCATATTTTGATTCTGTTAGAAGCACAAAATCATTAAGAATACAACAAATACTGTTTTCTTATACTCTCTTACAAGAAGTTTTTCTTTAGCTTTGTTGGCCACCCAAAGAACTACACCCTAAGGACTATAAATACTAACTGCATGGAATACTACCTAGCAAATGATGGAACCCATATAGACTGAGCCAGTTTTTGTTTTCTTTAAAAAATGTTCTGCATCAAGTGTGATGTGCTAATTTCTGTCTTTTGTTATTCCATCTGTCTTTCATTATTCCCCTCAAAAGAACACTATTAAAGCTCTCTACATGAAAGGTCCCAGATTTAAGTAAAAGATCTCAATGTAAAAAGGGAAACTTGATAGCAGTCATCGCTATATTTCTAGAACCTGGCTCATTGCCAGGCACATAGTAGGTACTCAGGAAATATTCACTGAATGAACAAACCACGTGTAGATGGGATCCTCTGAATCAATCTGGGTTACAGGAGGCTGATACTACTATATCTGAATCCCACACAGGGCGAATAGGGTCACTTTCAGAGGATTATTCTTAGATTCAATATATATTATATTTCTTCTTGTTAGTTTCTAATATAATTTTACATTTTGATTGGTAATAGCATTATATTATATAAACATTCAGCAGCAAACCTAGTGAAAACTAAAATATAATTAATAACAAAATACCAAGATTATTATGAAATCAAGCCCTCTTAGCAAAGCTAAGGATTCAACAAGCAAATTTATTTGTATTTGGTCATAAAAGTAGATAAATATGCCAAATATCAGAAATCTGAGCCTTAAACAAATACTTAAATACACACGAATTCCTTAAGATTGTAATAAGGAAAATCTTTAAAACCTACCTCAGTAACATTGTTTTCTTCATCATATTGAAATATTATCTCGCCTCTAAAAAATTCTAAAAATAAATTTTTAAAAAGAAAATTGAGACTTGCATCCTTAGAGCTTGAGGATTAATGTAATACAGAAAAAGATTATCAAATTACTTTAAAAACAAAGTTTCATCAAATTCTTTGCTGTTATTCACATTTACTCTCTTTTGTATCAGAAAATTACTCACTATAATTTTCAGAAAATATAAACTATAAATTTTATGTACGAGTGCGGAAAGAAGGAACACTTGTTCCCATGTCAAGAAACTTTATCCTGCCTGAATCCCGGTGCCAGAGGTGGTCCAAAGGCACCCGTGACGGTGCATAAAACCGCTAGCCACCTGCCGGGCTGCTTAATGGACCACTGTCCAAGGCCCACCATGACCCGCATCCCAGAGTCGCCACCTCTGTTGCCTCTGCCACGACCCTGTTCCCTTCACGTAAGGAGCCCCAGGAGTGCCCCTTGTGCACCGAGGCACACAGACATGGGCAGCCAGAGCATGCTGGGCAGCCTGGGTGCTGGGCTTCACTGGGTTGCTGTGGCCATGCTTGGCTCCGTCATGATCGTAGTGGTGCCCTCCATTATCAAGCTGCAGGTCCACAAGAATGTGTGCATCGACCCTGGTAGCCTGTCCTTCAGCATGTGGAATGTGATCCCTTCCCCTTCTACTTCTCCATCTAGTTCTTGACATCGCAATCCCAACGAGATCCTCCAGGGCAAGAAGCTGCAGCTGCAGGAGGCAGGCCCTCCGTGTATAGGGAGTTCCAGCACCAGAGCAACATCACCTTCAATGGCAATGACACAGTGTCTTTCCTGGAATACTGCAACTTCCAATTCCAGCAACAAGTCCAGCAGCTTGGAGAATTACTACATCATCGTGCCCAACATCCTGTTCCTAAGTACAGCCACTGTCCTGAAACCCAGCCCAGGAGGGTAGACTTCTGTGGCAAAGCCAGATAGGCAGGGGGCCGTGGGCACAGAGCCCAGCCTGAACCCAGAACTTTGGCCTCTCTGTACCCATCTGGGCTGGGGGCACAGCCCTTCACACAGTCCTCAGAAACCAGTGTGAGTGAGAGACACTCCATGCAGCTGCCCTGTCCCCCCTCCCCCAAGACTTTGATATCCCTGAAGTCTACATAGGCACTGGATTTGGGTGTCTGGAGTCCCTTCCCTTCATCATCATCAACTGACATCATCCTGTATACTGAGTAGGCCACTCCCTGGCTGGGGTGGTGGGAGGCTCTGCCCTGAGCTGCCCCCCATGAGGGCCCTTATCTTTTAGGTGCCAAGCCAGAGGTGGACAGGTCTGGGCCCTGGTAGCCTGGGTGTATGGCCAGGTGGGAGACCTGTCCACCTGCAGCTTCTGGTCTCCAGGGCAAGCCTCTCTCTCTTTTCTACTGGAAGAAAAATTAGTTATCATCTTTTAAAAATAATTCATTATTGAAGTAATAGACCTTTTTAAAAAGTGTGTGTGGGGGGGAGAAATTTTATCCCTACATGCTTCTCATCAGAACTTTGTTCCTTTAAAGATGCTAACTGGGAGAACCGTGGACTAAAGTTAATGTTTTTAAAAATATACATATATATTTTAAAGTCGTTATAGTTACAGTTACATAGATAAGAGAGGGAGGGAAAGTGTTTCTCAGAAGTTTAGCAACCTTATGGGAATCCATTTATTCCTTGCTGGTGTTTTTGTTTTTTTCTTTTTAAAAATACAGCTACCAAATGCAGTATGTTTCCCAGAAACAAAGTTGAGATTTTGCTTTGAAACCTGAATAGAGTGCAGGGCAAATCTTTTCTTCAATTGAACAACTCATTGGGACTTTCATCCCAGATATACCAGGAAAACTTGTTCCTAAAATGCTCGCTTTGGGTAACATTGAAGTCAATTCTATTCAACATTTTTTCTACAGGGTATACTAGGAGGGGCTTTGACTCTATCTGGAAACAAATAAAATAGAGACCCCTTAACAGAGGTACATTGTGTGTACTTCATAATGTAGAGACAAAAAACTGGCCTCTTGAGCAAAAGGGCAAGGATGTCATATAACTATAGAGCAGAGGTCAGCCAACTTTTTTGTGAAATATCAGACAGGTAGTAAATATTTGAGGTTTTGTGGGTCATATGGTCTCTTGAAACTACTCAACTTTGTAGTGTAAAAACAGCCATAGACAATATGTAAATGAATAGGTGTGGCTGTGTGCCAATAAAACTTTACCTACAAAAACAAGTAGCAAGATATATTTGGACCATGGGCAGTAGTTTGCCAACTCCTGAGCTAGAGGGTTGAAGGCCTCCTCATCTTATCTTTTTTATTGCACCCCAAAGTACAGCTGATTCCCATAGCCCAGTTCCCAGTGGTCCACTTCCACTTAAAATGGCCAACAAAGCCACTAGACCAGAGATTAACATGATTTATCTATTTCAGCAACTTTTCTACCGAGGACTTCAACTCTGATACTGAAATTTCAATTAATATAGTACATAAGTATTAAAAGTAAAGATTCTTGATACATGCATAGAATTATTTATCCATTTTTGAAAAGAAATCTTAGCTTGTATAAACTGAGTTAGTGTGTGTGCCCCTGGTTGACACCCAAAATTTCTCTCCCTCACCTCTCTATTCTTCAAGTTCATCCTTCAGTCTTGTTGAGGGCGTGTTGATTTTCATAAATGTGCTAGGAGCACAGTGGTAGCAGAGCAACCAGGAAGCCACCACCTTTCTACCTTTTTACTCTCAGCCTAACTGTGGCTAGTCAGCTCCCAGTTTCTTCACTAGCCTCCATTTCCCTTAATGAACCCAGATTGGAACCTGCAAGAAATGAAGGTTTCTAGTTTCTGGCAGGATATTGTGGGATTTCTGGTGCCAAAAGAGTTGGTCCCCTGATGAGGTTGTTTTCAACAGACACTAAAACAAATGGTCAATTCAGTCACTTAATTAGGGAAAACATTACTCCAACCAGCTTTCTGACATCTGTTATTCAAGATGACCAGTTTGTTTTTTTTTTTTACTAAATGTTCAATTTTCAAACAGTTATCAAACATCATGTAGACACAACACTAAAGTAGACATTAGTCACCAGTCCAAACATAGAGGAAGCACAAAAATAATGAAATTATGGAGAATTCAGTAAAGAGAGGAGGGAGGGAAGAAGAAGAAGAGAGAGTTACACAATATATGAAAGTGAAATGTGTTTATTTTTTCTTGAATCAAAACCAGATGATATTTTTCTGCTGTATTCTACCTGGAGCATACTATCAGGAGAAAGCTCATATAAGCAAATCTCACACTCACTCAAATGGAACGTGTTTGTGGAATATTTTTCAACAGAAAGTTTTCTTGTTTTCTAAACTGTCCAACCTTAACTTGTTTTACTTGCAACTGTTTCTTACATTTGCTTTTCTTTTTAAAATTTTTTACATTTCCAAATGTGCATTAGTTCCATTCACCGAATGCTCCTATGTTTTTCAAACAAATTACTAAACTGTTAAAGGGAACAGAATAAAATGAAAGCATTCCTCTAATAAGTGTTTCTTTTTATATTAATGGAGTCATACTAAGACTTTAATATTATAAAATATTTTGTTACCCTCCTCTTCTCTCTTCCCATGATCCAATTCTGACCTGTCACACATTTTTCTGTTGTTTACATCTGCTTTCATTGGTCTCAACGAGGAAGGGAGCCCAGAAAGCCAAACCAATGTGAGAAAAGTGATTGTTTCATTCCATCTGGCCCATGGCAGGAGGGAAAATATTCTCGTTTCAAAAATAGCATGTCCTCAAGAGATTTCCATCTCAATTTTTAAAAATAGGGGGCAGTCTTAGCTAGAGATGGCAAAATCCACTTATGAGCACTACTGGAATTAGCACCCAATTAACTAGGTGTACGTGAGGTTTTCAACATTCTAGTAGAGTGGTTTGTTTTATTTTTAGTAGAAGACAACATCTTGTTTCTAAGCTATAATAATACTTAAGGTCCTATGGAAAAGCTGGAGGGATTTATATATAAGAAGTGGCTTTCAATAATTAAGTTCATTATTAATTATGTTCATGAATCAACTCTAAGTGCATTAGTTATGGATTTAAAGCTATGGTGAAAAATGTTTGGTGTACAGCTTCATGTTCTCATATTAAAGAAGTTAATCCATCATTTCACTATGCAATGGGAAGATAATTCCAGCCAAATCTAAAATTTGCTTTTGTTTTCATTCGGGATTCATAATAGCCAGGTGGTATGAAAACAGACAGATCAAGAGGCATACATCATACACTCTAGAGGAGAAAAACCATTTTTCTCTATGAAGCTAATTTATCTGGTAACATACAATGTGCACAAGAACTAACCTGAGTCATTGCAAATAGATGACAAATTGCAGATATTTCTCTGGGGTTTGACTCCTGCAAAGAAAACACAACCCAGCCGGTTAAGCATGTCAACACCTTCACTTGTATATTACATTGTCAAGAGAATTCATAAATTTAGGCATCAAGGGTGGACCAAAAATATTATACGTTGGGTATAATTGGCTGGATGAATTCCACAAAGACTAAAAGAATGAGAGTTTTCATTTCTTAGTTAGTCAGCTATGGAACTTGATTGTTTACTATTCTTTAGTACATCAGTGTCTGATCCCCTACTCCTCCCTAAAATTTCTTGTCCTGTTCCCAATTAATCTCTCACCTGTCCAATACAAACAGAACAGTATGAATACAAATCTAGCATAGAGACTTTAAATGAAATAGCCCTTACTCTTAGATTCTCCATTTTTTCATGGTAAGGGAGGGAGTACATGAACATTCTAATGCTGATCTCAGCTCCTTATGCAAATGTATGTATGAAATAACACCAATGTCATGATATCATTTCACATGGGCAAAAACTACAAAATTCAAAAAATATTTGCTGAATGCCTACCATATTCTATAGGCTTTATGAGATTACAAATACAAACCCTGCATTCAACAAGCTTACAATCTAATGAGTGATACTAGCCAGTAAAAAAAAAA